AGAAGATGCAATTATCAACGCTCCCCTGAACCTTTTAAAATAATTTTTCCGAAAAAGATAGTTTACGAATGACACCCGAGTTAAAAAAAAAAAAAAAAGCTGCGAGAACCGGCTGTGTGCTTATTATGCTGAGCAGAGGGATAGAAGGGAGTAACTAACACGGCAAAGGCCTCCGAGTTGGTACCAAATGAGAGACTAGCAGTGGAAGTAATCGTTAAGTGTTCAGCTTGAAAAGTTAACAAAGTACGGGTATAAAGTTGATGGGAAACTAATCACGTTTGGAAATACGGGGGGTCTACAACTTGGCTCTACGGCTCTACGGATCTTTGGTCGCGGGTGGGGTTCACGTTTCACATGTCATAGGCTTCTGTTAGAAAATCTGCTGGTTGAAAAATAGGTAAAGAAAAATACGATTTCAGTTCAAAATAAATCTCAGCCACCCCATACACTTTTTATATTGGATATCGCTAAGAATACAAACTTCGCTTTTCATGAGGATGCGACATTGATTTCTGCCCTTTTCTTAGTCTGGTCTTTGATCATCCTTTCCCTCTTCGGAGAAGGAGTGAGGCTTTATTTCTTGCACAACAACTGTGACTTTAGCCCAGTAGGAATGTGAAGGGGTATGCAATTCACAAAGGTAAAAATTTCAAACCCTTATAACCAAAGTTGTAAGCTTTGTTGTTACTAGAGGGAGTCAGTTGTCAAAAGAAAGGGTTCGACGTTAACTTTCATTCATAAGAGACCAACCGGATACATTTTGAATACTTGACTGGTTCCTATAATCTTTATCATAAGTTTCTGTACAAATGAGCTGCACGTAAATTACTGTTACAGTTACACCATAAATTTGAATTGCAAATGTTTTGAACAATTTCATAAGAAAATATAGGTACAAATAATGTTCAAAGATTTTGAATCTGAACATATGAAATTATTTACTTGGCAAAAACAAGGGATATAACTTAGCTGATGCCAGATATTACATATTTTTTTAAAAAAATAATCTTGCTTAATTTGATGGGAAGATGTTTGAAAGATGGAGACAGAAAACTCCAAGGTGGTTCTTTTAAACGTATACCTGCGTCACAAAAAACAAAAATTGTTCTATCTAGCATCATCATTTTGTTCGCAATAAGTTATTTTCCTTGTAAAGTTATATTAGCTACAAAAATAATTAAAATTGTTAAAGCTCTTAAATATCCATACTACATAAAATGTTTAGTCAAAAAGTGCTTCTTAAATAAAAATAAGAAAAAATTATTACCTGCAAATAATCACACCTCATTTTAAATACAATATGTTTTAATACTATTTTTCTTGGAAAGCCTAGCAACTTTGTACAGTTCGAAATTTTAAATCTTTTTATCATTTTACTACTTTTCTGATGACAAGTGCACATAAAAAAGCTGACCCAATTTTGATTAATCACTCACACTCTAACCCTTTAACTCCCAGATCAAATTTGTAATTCTCCTTACTGTCAACCATACAATTCTAATAATGTAAGTTCAGAGAATTTAGTATTGGATCAACTTATTATCCCCAATTGATCTTTTTCTTTATTCTCATCACTTATCTGGTTGATACAGTATAGATATTTGAAGGAGAAATTATGTCTTGATCACTCATGGGAGTTAAAGGGTTAAGTGAGACATCTGTGCATTAAGAGAAGAAT